TTTTTTTTTTTCTTTCTTTCGCACTTTACCTGTTTTCTTTACTTGTAGCGCAAACAAACCAAAGAACCCGAGTAGAAAGTGGTGAAATACATATGCACATAAACACGCACACACAGAGACGCGTATCTATTCACGTTCTCATCCAATGATCCCCTTCCCCAAGGAATATATTGAAAATAATAATAATAATAATAATAATAATAATAATAATAATAAAAGAATGGATGTGAATTAAGTGTACAGCAACTCAAACACATGCATCTAAACAGTACCCGATTGCAAATAGTCGAAAAAGAAAAGGAAAAAAAAAAAAAGCTGGGCCAAAAACCAAAAAAAAAGGAAAGGAAAAAAAAAAAGAAAGAAACCCAAGTATTTTAAAATACAACTAAACAATAACAATAACAGCTACAATAACAGAGAGAAAATAAAAATAAACGTCTCAGTGTTAATTGTTGCTGTCCTTCTTGTTTTTTGTTGTTATTCTTTTTTAATTTTCTTTCTCCACACTCGCTCTGTTACCCCTATTATTTTGCTTTCTTCGTATCGTTACAGTGAAAAATAAAGTAAAAAAAAAAAGAGGGTAATCGGTCAAAAAAAACAAAGAATGAATTGGTGCAATAAAGGGTTAAACACTAGAAATAAAATCATATATATATATATATATATATTCCCACTACGGCGCATATATTAATCCATCTGGGTAATTCATCACAGGAACCTGATACACCACATGATCAGACTCTATATGGTTTACCATACAGCCATTATATAATAGTTGATTACATCGTGTCCCAGTGATTATCCTTGATGGGGCGATGTTTGCGTTCCATTTCTGTCCACCATGAAATTGTTGAACTTGCTGCTGGTGCTGCTGTGATGGCATTGGAAACGAACAGAGACACTTCGTGGGTGTATTCACCATGGAAGATGCACACGAGTTCACAAGGCATTCTGTATGTGGTTGCTGCATGTGGAAAGGGACTGACTGTACCGCTGATGTGGATGTATTTGGATACACATTGTTCTGAATAAAAACATGTGGAGGCATAATAGAAACATTGGATGCGTTAGTTGTTGTTGTTGATGTTGTTGATGCTGCTGCTGTCACTAGATTGGGTGGTGGTGGTGGTAACATTGTTGGTGATGGGTTGCCTACAAAATTTATGAGAGGCACTACGTTACAACTACCAAGAGGAATTATCGTCGATGACTGTTGTTGCTGTTGCTGCTGTTGTTGTTGTACAACGTGATCGTGAAAACTGAAGCTGTGAATATCACTCCCACTAGATGACATTCCTCCAGCATAATTACATTCACCTGTTGGGATAAAACCACTGCTACTGAGACTTCGTGGGGAAAGAATCATATTCCCAATGTCTTTTCTCTGAGAATAATGAGAAAAATAAACATGGTACATGGCTTCTGTGCATGACATCCTTAAATTTTCATCAGGATTTAATAAATTACACAATAAATTCACAAAAGCCATCTCTTCAGAAGAAGGTGAATATGGTTGTTGAACTTTGCCAGAGTTGTAGCGATATTTCTTAATGAGGTGATGTAAATTTGCCTCAGCATTTACCCCGTTTGTATTTTGTGGTATCAACAAGGATGTGGTGTTTGCACCAAAGGTCATAGCTTTTAAAGAAGGAAGTCCAACTGTATATACAATGTTATTAATCTGTTCCTGTGGGGTTTCACCGGGAAAAAGTGGTTTCCCCGTGTAGAGCTCAAACAACAAACACCCAAGACTCCAGGCATCAATGAGAGAAGTGTAGGGAAGACCAAGAAGCACCTCTGGAGCACGATACCATAGTGATTGAACATCATAATACGTGTTTTCATGAAATTGTCGTACTGCACCAAAGTCAATAAGACATGTTTTTGTAAAGTCTTCCCCATTGCGATGATCATTCTCACTTGGGCGAAGCATTACATTCTCTGGTTTAATATCACAGTGAATGTAACCCAGTGAGTGAAGTTCCGATAGTGCCTTCACTACACGTTCTCCTGCTATACGTACAGCCTCTAGTGAGAATGGTTGAAAACGGTGAGCCCGTAAAAGTTCATAAAAATTTGTACGTAAGAGTTCAGAGACAATGCAGAGACGTCCATTCTCTTCAAAGAAGTCCAACATCTTCAATGATTCTTCATTGTGTGAGAGAAGTTGTAGAACTCGAATTTCATTCATTGCAGAGCGGCGGTATGCGGCATCTTTTTGTGAAATCTTCACAGCGACCTGCTCACCGCTGCGTGTATCGGCACAACGCAATACACATCCATACGTGCCATTTCCAAGCACCTCCTGGGATGCGTAGTGACCATTCATAATAGACATGGAAGTTTGCATCATTGAGGTCAAAACAGTTTTTATTTTCTTTATTTTTTTTTCTTATCTCTTTCTTTCTTTCTTTTTTATTTTACTAATCCTCCTTGAGTTTAATGTACTTCTTTGCTTTTCCTTCTTCTTCTCTTTTCAGACTTGTTCTTCTCTTTTTTGTTTTGGCTGTTATTATTTGACCTATCACTCTATTTTGTGCCTTTAAACTTCTGCCCCCTCCACACTCTCCTACAAAAGAAAAGAAAACAAAACAAAAAAAAAGAGAAAAGAAATTAAATAAAGAAAAGTAAAAAGTTATCACAGAGTCACTTACATAATCAGTAGGAAAGAAAAAGTTGTTTTTTTCTTCTGCTTTGCTTTTTTTTTTCCTTTTTTTGCCACAGTTTGGCATGAGAAAAATAATAAGCACTTTAAGCTTTTTGTCTCTCTCTCTCAAGACCCTTTCCAATCCAATAAGAGAGAAAAAAAAAAAAATACTATACAAAAAGAAACAGAGAAAGGTTAAAATTAAGAAGAGAAATATACTTCACGTTGCAGTAATAGCCACTGAATGAAGCGCCTTAAAATCCACACGCCAAACAGCAATAGTAAAATCCCCACTAGCTGAAGCAAAAAGATACACAGACTCATCCTCATGAATGCTGCTGCTGCTAATATTATTCTTACTACTACTGTTACTGGTATGAGTATCACACCAACGGGGATTCCTAACATCATACCCAAACAAAGAACACCGCATTGCTGTTACTGAGGATGATGGTTGTAAAGGAGCTATGGCAATCTCATTCACAGTTCCGGTATGAAATGTTAAGATGGAGATAACACTACCTGATCCTTCATCATATAAGCGCAAGGTATGATCCCACGATCCAATAATAGCTAAATGACGCTCAAGAGCTATGCTACCCAATCCTTTTCGCAGAGATGCTTCCCATTGTACTACAAAAGAAATAGTATCACTCTCAGTATTAGTAACCTCATCATCTTTTTTTAAATCTCCAACAACAGTGTAGCAGTGTAATTGTCCTTCTGCTGAAGATACCAGAACAGTATTTTCTGACCACACACATGCCAATGCTGTTTCTGAAAAAGCACGAACAATAGCCAATCGTTCACCACCTGTACGATTGAGTGATACATGCCCACTTTCAAATGCCACAACAAGATGTTTACTGTCCCGGAAGTTTATACACATAATTATACCACACTTTGTTTCAGAACCGGCAGCAGGAAAAGTCCTAGAACAGACAACATTTAGTCCTCCCAGAGACTCTTCTTGATTGTTATTAACACTAACATTCCATAAACTTATAACTCCTCCATTGTCGTGAGGAACTGCCAACAACACTTCACTAGTTGAAATTGAAACACTAGGGACAGCACAAAACCCATGTTGAGGCACATCAATTACGTATAGCAACTCAAGAGACGCACTATGTGTATTCATGAGATCATTTTCCCCAATATCATTTTCATTTTCATCATCATTAAAACTAGTTCGCCATATGTATAATTTTTGATTCCTGCACTGTGTATAGAAGCAAACACTAAACCCCTCCTCTCCCACTGCCCCAGAGAATCCTTTGAGTGTAAGGAATCCAACCTTGAGGATGCCGTTATTGGCAAATCCAACCCTTGATGTCTGTTCCTCTCCACTCTGTGCGGTGTAGTGAGTGGGAGAGAAGGCCGTGAGAGCCGTGCGGAGCTCGAGGTCCCACAGCAGCACGACGCCGTCCACGTCGCCGCTGAGGAGAAGATGCGGAAAGACACCCGCGGGGTCGAGTGCACACGTCGTGACGGCGCTGTTGTGCCGGCGGAGGACAAAAAGCGGCTGGTGCGCTTTCACCAACGGCATCCCAAGACCTCCACCCTATTTTTATTGTTATTAATATTAATATTATTATTATTATTATTATTACTCTCTCTATCTATGTGTGTGTGTGGGATCTGAAGGGTAGTGAGGAAACAGAGAAGGGAGAAAGAACAGATAAAGGTTTTTTTTTTTTTTTTTTTTTTAATAGGAGGAGAAGGAAGGAGACAATATGAAGAATCAAAAATGTATAGTCAAAGAAAAAGAGAGAGTGAGAGAGAGTAGTAGTAGGAGGAGGAGGAGGATGTCAAGAAAAATATTGACAGGTCAAAAAAGACTTGCAGGTATACCACGATAATAATAAAAAAAAAGGAAAAACGCAAAAAAAAAAAAATAAAAAAAAAAAAAAAAAAATAAAGGTTCTTAGAAGCGATAAGAGTAACAGAAAGAAAAAAAAAATGTTCTTTTTCTTTTTCTTTTCCTTGCGTTGTTTACTTTTCGTCAACCTGAACAAAAAGTTTGTGACGTTCTGTTGGTTCAACAGTATCTGCAGTTGTTCTAGCTGCATCTAAAACAAAAATCTTTTTTGCTTTCTTTAATGAAGTAATAACAGCATCCTTGTTTTCAGGTGCAGTTTCATTTATTATCCATGCAAGCACATAGGCCCAGAACTTTCTGCTTTCAGAATTATCCGTTTGTATAACCCAATAGTCTTCACGTTCTTTTCCTTTTTTTAGCATAATAGCAAAGGATAACTCTGGTTTTAGTTTTCTGAGAGTAAGTTGCTCGTTAGAAAGTAACAGAATGTCATACACATCTATTAACTTTACAGCCGTATCTACATGCTCTGAATTAGTCCCTTCGGGTTTGCTCACATCCCGTAAACATAGCCATTCAAGATCTCTTGTTAGAAATATTTGTCGTACAGTAGGAATTTTCATATTAGACGTTATAATCACAGCGGTAAACCCTCGAAGAGCACAAGACAAGAAATATTTTGCTTGAAGAGTTGATGAGGCATTCACAATATTAGGAGGTAGACGAGCACCTTCAATATTTATTCGTCGAAATACTTCTATTTCTGAAGTTACCCTCATAGAATTATCTCCATGATCAACTCCCAAGAGAAAAGTACTTTGACGTTTAGAAAGTAATCGTTGTATTTTTTCCTGCATCTCATGAACTTCAAACGCATAGTTTGGATCTGCTAAAGTATAGTTTTCTCTAATAGTATTTTTTTGTCCCCATATAGTATTTGTTTTTTGATTTTTAACAAAATTTACAACTTCATCAATGAGTTTTTGTTGAATTTGACTTAATGACTCTTCTACTGTCTTTGGTGGGTTATTGGATACTACTGTACGCCGCAGTGGGACATGCATTCGGTTTATCTGTTCACTCTTAAGTAAGGATTTTTGTTGTAGAAATTTTTGTAAATAGTTTCGATAACGATATGTTGTTTCTTGCATCAATACATTTTCCTTCATATTCTCAGAAGAAATTTCAGCCATACTTCGTATTTCAGAAATAACTACCTCTGGGTTTTCTTCTGGAATAGGTTCAAACTCATGTTCATTGGCTTCATTTGGTAGTATTATCTCTTCCTGATCTTCATCAATGATATCATCATAACCCTCTGTATTTACCAAAGAAAGGTATAAAGTAGGTTCTTCACCAATGTTTTTCGCATTCTCCTCAATACGGTAAAAGAGTTCTTTCTTTACTTTTTCTTCTTCACACATTAAATGAAGCAAATTTTCTAGATTTAAAAAAGCAATCTCTCTCTCTTTTCCTTCTCCATTTTGGAAACCAATAATGTCATGAATTTTCTGTTGAGAAATTTTAATAGATTCTTTTACTTTTGTAAGGTCATTCGCAAAAGCTAATTTTGCATCTTGAAGTAAACCAGTGCAGTGATGACATATACTGCTCCAAACAACAAAGTAATTTTGCAACCATTGTTCTTTATTACTATTAACAGAAATTGGAGAATGATTTAGACGACGTGCAGTTTCCAACTGTTCATTCAGTGAACGAATTAATTGTTGATCAACATATTCTACGGATCGTTTGTAAATATGGGGTAAAGCTGTATTTCCTGATAAATCAGCTTCAATTTTTTTTGCCTCTTCCACTTGATATTTAAAATCTTGATATTGAAGCTGAAGTTCATGGGTTCGGTTTTGCATTTCTTCTAAATATTGTTCCAATATATCTACATCTTCTTTCAATGGTAATACTTCAAGTCCTTCCTTTTCATTCAACTGAGAAACCTCTTTTTCCATTTCATTTCGTGCTTCAATAAGTTGTCTAAGATTTTCTTCTTCTTCTTTTATTCGATTAGTAAAAGATTGATCATCTATAACCTGACATTCTAATAACCATTTAACTTGTTGTTGTGCTTGTTGCAGTTCTCGTCGTACTGTAGATATTCTCTCCAAACGATTATTCATGAGATCTTCAATATCAACAATTTGCTTTTCACATTCTTTGATTTCATCCTGTAAATCAGTTGTGTGTGATAAGGTTTGGGATAGTTTAGACTTCATTTCTCCCCATTTAAATTCATGATCACTTGCTTGACGTGCCTCTCGCCAACTCATATCAAGAGTATGCAACTTATTAGACAATAATGTGAGTTCAGAGTTAAGATCTTGCTTCTCTCCTAAAAGTCGAGAGCGACGCGCACGTTCATCACACTCAACTTCAATAGCGAGAGCTGTGCGTAATGACTTTATACGTTCCTCTTGTCGTTCTATTATATCTTCCAGTTCCTTTTTATGTTGTTCAAATAATCGTTCATCTTCCCCATTCTGTTGTTGTTCATTAACTGTAATTGGCTCCCTTCTCTGTTTCGAAGCTACAGCGTTACCTGTATAAGGTAAAATGAAGGACATTTTTTTTTTTTTTTTCTCTCTTTTTATTCGAGAAGAAAACGTTTAACTGCCTGAAAAACCAAGTACAGTAATGTACCAGAAAAATTTTCTCTTTAATCAATAAAATAGTAATGAGAAAATAGGGTCTAAATGAATTAGAAGAAAAAATAAAATAAAAAAATAGAAAGGATGAAAAAAAAAGAAGGACATAGTCAGAAGAAGAAAATAATAATAATACTACTACTACTAATAATAACAAAAGGATTAATTAATCCATCCGAGAATGAAAAATAAAATAAAGGAAAACAAAACATAGGAATAAGAAAAAAAAAAAAAAAACGAAACAAGAATAATACGGAAAGGTATAAATGATGAATTTCACAAACATCAGAGTTTCTTTCCTTTTTTAAAAATAAATTTACATAAGAATCCTATACATACATCTCCAGAATAAGGAGGAAAAAGCCTAGCCCAACTTTTTTTGTTTTTTTTTCTTTAGTTTCCCTCTTTTTGTAATTGGAAAAGTAAATAAAAGTAAACATGAATATATAATATATTAGCACGCAGAGTATTTTTAATTGTCCAGTAAAATACTTTTGCGTGGTTCTTCATAAAGACAAAGTGCGTCCTTGTCAAGCTTTTCTTCTTGAGCAACAGCATAGTCTGTACTCTTAAACTGTGTTTCATCATCAACGTCTTCAAGATGAAGACCTCTCATATTTATTCTCTCCCTTAGTGGAGTTTCATTAACATGAAGAAGAGATAAAATATCTTCCCATATTTCCTCTGGTACATTTGATCCTTCAAGAAATAGTGTATGAAGTTGTGGATTCACCTTTAATGCATTAAAAAGAGCTTCACCTCCAACTTCACCGATAGGATTATAATCCAAATACAAAGCTTCAATAGTGTGATTAACACGAAGTACATCAGCAATCATTTCACATCCAATATCAGTTATATTGTTCATTCCAAGATCAACTGCACGTATTGTAGAAGATTGTTCCAAAACCTCACATAAAGTTTGAACATCCTCATCATTCAATTTATACGCTTCATTTTGCGCATTTAAATCAATCATTTCACTCGTTAATTTACCAGATCTGTGTAACAAAAGAATCTTTTTCAGTCTAACGGATCCTGCATTAAGAGATAAAAGTTGTGTAATCTCTTCCATACAATTATTAGATATTGAATTACCTTCCAAAACGAGTGATACAATATGGTCATTTTCTTGTAAAAATTTTAAAAGAATTCTTCCTCCTCTTTCATCGATTCGATTGTTAGAAAGATCAACTCCTCTTATCCATGGGCATCGAGAGAGAGCTTCAGCTAGGAATGGCATACTCTCACATGTCAATGAATTTTGTGATAAATCAATAAAAGTAACATGATTATTATTCAATAATGATGCAGAAAGCAGCTGACATGCAGAATCAGTAAACGGATATTTAGGATCTCTAAGAACTACCGTAGGAATATCATCATTAGCATCTATAGATGCTAATAAAGGTTTAAGTGATTGAGGTTGTTCATTTATCATAAGTTCACGATTCATCGTACAAAATGCATCTGCTGTAACACCAATTGGAGTACGTACATCTTTAAGAGATGTATTAGTTTTTAAAATTTTAGTTAAAAATTCAATACCAATTGAAGTTACATTTGTTTCATTTAAAATAAGAACTTCCAATGAACATTTATCAGATTCTAAACCTTTTACCAATTCAATTAGACCTTCATCATCAATAGGATTAGATGAAAGATCCAAAAGAGAAATTCCACAATCTTCTCGGGCAATAATATTTCCAAGACTTTTACATCCTTCAGTTTTAATAGCATTACCTTTAAGAATCAAATCATGCACAAATGACCTCCCTTTTAGATGAACACAAAGTGTTCCAATAGATTGATCATCAAGGGGTCGAGAACAATTTTCTCTTCTTAAATCCACTTTTTTCATATCTTCATCACCATTCTGTAATCTGTAAACTGTATCTTTAAGGCTTTTTGGTTCTTTATTAAGATCTGCTGCTTCAATAATTTTAGTATACATTTGTGGAGAAACTCCTGTTTTTTCCAAGTTAATAGAAAGTATTCTGTCATTAAATTTTAACATATCTGGAAAAGCTTCAACTCCATCATCATATAATGCATTATTTGAAAGATTTAATTCTTCAAGTGATGTATTTGTGCGAAGGGCATCACATAATCTTCGAGCTCCACGACCTGTTATGGAATTTTCTGATAGGTTTAAATGTGTAAGAGTTGCATTAGTCATAAGCATTTCAGAAATAAAAACAACTCCTGTATCACCAACAACATTTCTTGATAAATCCAAAGAAAGTACAGTTCGATTTAATAAAAGTGCTTGACATAACAAACGTACTGAAGTATTATTGTAATATTCTTCACCAGTTCCTCCTGAAAGAGAAATTTCAGTTAAAGAAGGATCATTTGACTCAATTTGAACTACAAGTCGTCGAATTTCCTTTGGTGATTGATTAATCAGAAGCAAACCTTCCACTTCATTTAAATAATCCACTCCAATGTAATTGTTGGTAATGTTGACATTCTTCAAAGAACTGTTTGATCTAATAGCATTTATTATTGAAAGAGCTGCGTCATCATTAATTAGGTTTCCTGCTACATTTACTTCTTCCACTGATACATGCCTCTGAAGACATTGAAATAAATTCTTTGCTCCAGTAGATGTTATATCATTATTTGGAAGAGCAAGAATACGAATAGTACTGTTATGACGTAATGGTTCAACCAAAAGTTCCACACCTTTGTCACCTACTGAACAATTTCCCAAATTTAATTCCACCAAATAGGAATTATCCTTTAAAACAGGAGCAATAAAATATGCTGCCCTTTTCATTCCTTCTTCCCATTGAAGATTTACAGATATACATGATGGATTATTTGTTCGAATGGCCACAACTGCTTTTTTTAAAGGATTTGGTTCTTTATTTAAAGCACATTCATGATCAATAACAGCGCGTACCTTTGATGTAACAGAAGTTTCTACCAAATTAAAAGTGGTAATTATATCATTCTTTTCAAATAAAGAATTTACAAGAGCTTGTGCAGCATAATTACCAATACGAATATTTTGAGCAAATGATAAAAACTTTATAGTTGGATGATTTACAAGACCAGAACTTTCAATAAACTGTGAAAGTCCTACATCAGATACATCATTATTACTTAAATCCACATGTTGTACAGTACTTTCTTTAAGTAATGCTCCAATTGCTGCGGTTCCTGCATCTCCAAGAGAACATCCAGAAAGAATTAGAGTCTTTAAACCATCAATATGACGCACAAAAAAAGGAATCAAACGGGTATCTACTTTATTATGACTGATTCCTGATAAATCAAGTTGATCTGTTTCACCAGTTAAAAGTGCTCTTTGAATATCCTTTGAGTATTTATCACTTTGAGCCAGTAATACTAGATTATGAACAAGTGATTTTGAGCATAGATTATCATCAATATCAAATGCTTTGGGATGAACAGAATTAGTAAAAACGTGAATAAAAGCCCTTGCACCATCATTATCAATTTTGTTTCCCTGAAGCTGGACCTCTTGAACTGTTGGTGATTTTTGAAGAAATCGTGCAAGAGCAAAAGCACCAGTTGATGTTATTTCATTACCAGAAAGATCAATCCTTTCCACTGGTATAGGTGACATCTCCATGGCAGCAATAAGTGTCTCCAGCTCAGAATCCCCCATTTTCTTAGAGGACCATAGTACATCTGTTACACCAGTTTTAGAAACTTCCCTTAACAGATCATTAAATGACTGCATATTGAATTGCTTGCTCGTTCGTTTTTAGATCTTTCACTAATGAAAGAAATGTAAAAGAAAATTAAATAAAAAGGGGAGAAAAAAAAACAAGAGATAAATGAAAAGAAAAATATATATTTATATTGCGCGTAAAAAGAAAGAAAGAAAAAAAAAAAAAAAAAAACATTCAACTTACAAGAATTACAAAAAAAGAAGAAGAAAAGTAAAAGTTTTTTTTTTCCTGCCGTTCCGCTATTATTCTACTATGTAAATAATGGAAAAAAGTAAAAAAATTAAAAATAAAAGAATAGAAAATAAACCTAATATTATAAACATATATATATATGTATTTATTTATAATATTAGATTTTTTTTATAGTTCCACAACTATTTTCCCCTTATTTTTTCTCTGATACATATAATCCACTGCATCTGGAATAGCTTCTAAACCCTTAGAAGGAAATAGATCCACAAAACTTCTAATTTGCCCAGTTTCACAAAGACGACATAAATTAGAAAAGTGACGTTTATCATACTTTGCAAAATGTGGTAAAAAAAAAGTATGTAGGGTTGCACTTTTTGATAAAAGTCTTGTTTGAATAGGTGTGTAATTTGAAGAATGCTGTATCCAACTACTACCATTATTATATCCAGATATACTTCCTATTGATAATATTCGTCCCCGAAGTGAAATATTATTTACAATAGCTTCAAAAGTTTCACCACCTACAGATTCATAGGCTAAATTAATTCCTGTTGGAGCAAATTTCTTTAATCCTTCATCTATAGATTCCCTTTCTTCAACTATAATATTATCACAACCAATTTCCTTTAAAAATGATTCTTTTAAAAAGGATGAAGTTATACCAATAACACGACATCGATATAAGTTTTTAAGTAATTGAACAGCAAATTGTCCTGTTCCACCTGCGGCAGCAGTAACAACTGCCACTTCTCCTGGTAAAGGTTTTACTACCTCCTCCAAAGAAATAGATGCTGTTATACCACTGAGATCTAAAGGAAGCCATTCTTTTTTAAGTGATGGAACCTTTTTAGTTTGTCGAGAAGGAACAACTTGATATTCCGCAAACGCGCCATAACAACGTGTTACAACAGCATCTCCAAGAGTAATTTCCTTTACATTTCCACCCAAAGCAACTACTTCACCAAGGGCTTCAAAACCACAATCAAAAGGGGGTTTCGCATCAGGTTTATATTTACCAGCTGTAAAATTCACATCGCTGGCATTAATTCCCACAAAAAAATTTTTAACAAAAACCTCCGTTGGTTTTAGGACGGGGGGGCCGTCGGTAACCCGGATTTCGACAGCGTCACGAAATCGAGGGGTCAACTTTGTCGCCACTATCTTTTTGAATCCTTTAGGAAAAGACGCCATGCCACACTGCGGCGCCGGAAACGATATCAAAAAAAAAAAAAGAATGGGGGAACGAAAAGAAAGATAAAAAAAAAAAATAAATAAATCGACGAAACCCCGCCGAATGGCGGCGACGACGCCCGGGCACGAAACGAGAAATAAACGGAGCCCGCCGGCCGTTCCCCGCACGCCCGGCGTGGAAACGCGGGCAGTTCGGGCGAGGCCCCGGATAGCAGGCGACCCGGGGAGAAACGGAGGGGAGGGGGGAGGGAGGAGAAAAAACCCGCCGCTCCGGAACGAAAGGGGGGAAAAAAAAAGGGCGGGGCGGGCGGCGGGGCCTCGGATGAAAAGCCGGGATGCCCCACCATCGCCCCTTCGATACCCCTGCGGGCGCGCCGAAACAAGAGGCGCCCTCCGGCCCCAGACCCTTCCCCGTTTTCTAGGGAAGCGAGGGAAGGTCAAACGGGAAAAAACCGGAACGGGGCCCCCGCAGAGAACGCCCCGTGCGGCGAAAGAGGGTGAGGGGGGAGAAAAAAAGGAGGTCGCGAGGTGGGTTTGGAGGGGTTCGGGTCCGGAATCCCGGGGGGTCTTTTCCCGGCCCGCTCTTCGCCCGATCCCCGGTTTGAACCCTTCCCCGCCCCAAAGCGACAACGATGGAAACACCCATCCTCCAAAGAAACTGCCAAATCGTACAATCGCAAACAAAAAAGAAAAGATTATAAACAAATTAAAAACCATTTGGCGGCATTGCGGGGATGGCCGCGCACACAAAAACAATAACGGATGATGTATAAATCTCTCTTTGTGTTGGTTTCTCCCTGCCCCAATTACAATTTGCAATTTCCCCTTAGGGACAAGCAAATTATATTTTACCCCATTTGCACGTAATGTAAAAGCAAATAAAAAAGAAAAAAGATATCATTTACCAGAACCACGCAATTGCAGAGTGATGCGCACCACAAGGTGCACAGCAATACTCTGCTTACAAGTATAAAAATGAAAAGAGATTAGGTATTTCCACACAAAGTAATGCGCCTCCGCACAGTGGGTGTCATCGGGATTATTTTTCTTGGTGCTCAGTGTACAAAAACACAGTAGCAATTGTATTATTATTATTATTATTATTATTATTATTATTA